TGTGGCTGAGTTGGGCATATGGCTCTTAGTGTCATTTGAGCTCCTGCTATTGGGAAGTGTAAAACAGAATTATTATGAAGGCACCACTGGGATTCGAACCCAGGATCTCCTGTTTACTAGACAGGCGCTTTGACCAACTAAGCCATGGTGCCTACCTCTGATACACCCAGAGGAATGATAGTAGACAAGTACTGCAGACAACTGACTCACTGGTTAACTCCTCTATTGTATTTACTGTAGATATTTGAGAGGGCAACCAATTAGCCCTGAAGAACTGCTGTAAAAAATAAAATAAATAAAAACACACTGTGTTTAGTTTTCATATTAAAGTGACCTTAGTGTTGCTGTTGCACAGAAATGCATCATGGGCAGGCACTGCTGGGATTTGAACCCAGGATCTCCTGTTTACAAGACAGGCGCTTTGACCAGCTAAGCCACAGTGCCTCCACATGGAAGAAGTCTAAAATGTGCCTCGATGACTTTTATGATGATTTACTGCATTTGCAAAAATACAAGATGCTGTTGGCAGGAACAACCAACAATAGAGGAAGAAACAACAGAGAGTCGTATGGGAACACAGAGAAAATAACAGTGCAGTCACTGCTGAGATGTGCAGGATTCACACAATGTCGGTAGAATGTCAGGAAGAAAAAAACATAATCTTAATATGGGAGCGGTCACTTATCAGTCCATGATGGTTACCCTGACTGTTGGCCTTGTAGTCACACATTTACAAAAGCCTGAATTTGTTACCTTTGTTGTATAACCTATTGGAAATGGTGGTGGTTAACATGAATGGTTAACAAACCACATTAAACACATTTTTGATTTGGTAAATCAGTTGTATTAGTGTTGACATCAGATTACCATTATCAAATCAGATACATGTAACTGGCAGTGACGGTGGCTGTGCAGTCATTGTCATATGGGTTTTTTGCCACTTTAGTTTTTCACCAAGTGGTAGTATGTTTCTTAGTGGGTAGATATGAGTGTGGTATCAATTGTGTCATCAAACTCTCATCAAGAAAGCCAACAAGTGTATTTCCCCAAATGTCATTCTGCCTTAAACATGACAGGAATTAAGTGACATAACCTGACCAGGAAGGCAACCCTCCTTAGTACCACAAACACTCAGAAAAAAAAATCAAACCTCATTCATGGTTACGTTCAGTCTCGTTGTCTCTCCATACAGCAGACGGCTCTTTGCCTCTGGCAGGCTGATGAGGTCATACAGGTATTTGGTACTTGTGGACCCTGTACGCTGCAACCGTCTGCAGTGCTGCAAGGCCTCCTCCCATGTCTTCCTCTCCTGGACCAAAATCAGTCTTTCATCCATACACAAGAAGGGCTGAGTATGAGAGCAATAACGGCTTCGCCATTTTAGGGATCTCGAATACTTTATAGCACACAGCTCACCCTGGTCTGGTTCACCTACAAGAAGAAGGAGTGAGGCTGAAATAACAGTTACATGGACATACAGTAACAGCATTCAAGTAAATGTAATAATTTCATCCGCAAATATACCATAAGACACACTGTACTAACACACGTTCACACATGTACAAGTAAATTGCATAATTAAGCATTATAGCAACTACAATTTTGACCTGCTGACAGTGAAGTGTTTAACTATCACCAAAGTTATTAATATTTATCATGTAGGGAACACGAATGCCTTATACCAAATGTCATGGCAGTCGGTCTTACACTTATTGAGATATTTCACTCATAAACACAAATGTCAACCTTGTGGTGGTGCTAGAGGAAAGGTCAGAGTATCACCAAAGTCATTAGGATTCATCATCTGGGAACCATGACGATCAAAAAGGTTGTCTAATCTATCCAGTAGACACAGACATTTCATTGGATATGTTTAAACTTTGACCAGAGTCTGTACCATGGATATCTGTACAAAATTAAGTCATGATGGAACTTAAAAAATGAAGTTTGTAGGATTCAAGCCCTGGGGACCATGAATGTCGGCTCCAAGTTGCAGTTCATCCAGTGGTTGTTGAGATATTTCAGTCAAAGAGTTGGATTGACCGACCGACTGACATTGGCATCCATATGCAGCTTACATGGCTAAATAGTCCTACTTTAACATTAAATTACATGTTAATCCAATAAATTGTGGAGCATACACTGAAGCCAGACTTGAGTACAGCACTCAGTGAATATACAAATTTTCTTTCTAGTCCTGCTCACCTGAATCCCAGCTGAAGAATCTGGAGATTTCACCTCCACTTGACCATTTCCATACTCCATCACTCCACTTAGTCAAACCAATCCAGCCTTTAAATATGGCGGTCTTGTTATTGTCCTGTGCATTTCTGATAGTGACCAAGTCACTGTGGTACTTCCTGCAGTAGGCCTGAGCACCCCACCAGTTCTCGCGCCAGGAGATGCGGACAACCTTTGAAATGTTCAGGCCTGAAGTCGCCGCACATGGTGGAGTAAGAAGGACAAAGAAGACGAAGTGGAAGAGGAGAAGACTGGGGATGTTTCTCTCCATGTTTTCTTCAGAAAGGCTACAAAGAAGAGTTAGATCAAATTTCACTGCAATTAGGGAGTAGTGCTGCAAAATAGTCAGTTGGTGGCTTTTTTTTTTTTTTTTGGTAAGCAAGAGCATTAGCTGAGGATGAACTCCCCAAACTTTCAGAATATTCTTTATTCCTCTATTAAAATATTAGCCAAAGCAAAACTAAAAAGCTGCTACTGAGGTTAACAGATTTACAGAAAAATAAACAGCTATTTGCCCAGAGTATGCATGCAGCAGCCTGTCTGTAGATGCTACCATACAGCACAGTTAAGAATTTAACTCTAATTGGAATTTACTGTGTACATGACACTTTTAGCACGTTTTTTCAAACATCAATGACGTCTGTCTCTATGGTAAAACTCACCATAAATGATGGCACCAGCAACGAGAGACCAGCGAAGTGGATTTTTGTTGAAAAGAGAAGGGACACTCCTTATTCAAACACAGGGCTGATAGAGGGATGTGTGTTATGTGGTCATATTATATGGGAGCAGGTTATTCCCACATCACCTATTGGAGCTGTGATACACCTGATTCCCCACCTAAACTGGCCAATCAGAGCAGTCGGTAAAAACAACAGTCTGGGTCATTCGACTGGATATCTGCCAGATACACAAACTAAATCTTAAAATGTGTTTATTCTAACTAGTCAAATGTCTTCAGTGATGCAAAGCAGAGTGAGAACAGGATGTTCACAGTTCTCATCAACAGACAAATATAAACATTTTACTTGATTTTACTTTTCCATCTATTTACAGATTTGCATTTTTTGTGTACAACAACCCGAGACTGGCATGCTGAAATTTGCTTGATATGCTGAAGTTGATGTCCCCTAAGGTAGTCATAGTCCTGATGAGAAGCCTGCAATGCAAAGCCATGCAGTACGCAGTGATTTTCATTTGTTTACTTGAATCAATTTGTTGACATAACATGAGATATATATTTATGCCTACAGCTCACATTAGGAACGGTAGTAACATTTTGGATGTGCTGTGTTTTACATATAGCACTGAGTGATGTTTGATTTCCTGCTATTGAGAAACGTAAGAATTATTATGCAGGCACCACTGGGATTTGAACCCAGGATCTCCTGTTTACTAGACAGGCGCTTTGACCAACTAAGCCATGGTGCCTACAGTTGCTGTTGATATTTTAAATCCCTCTTATATACTTCAGATGGATGATAGTCAACAAAAATGGCAGACAACTGACTCACTGGTTAACTCTTGTTCTGTATTTACTACACCAATTAGGCTTGAGGAACTGCTGTTAAAAAATAACAAGATGCTGTGTTGTGTTTACTATATGATTGCAACATGTGGATCCCATGTTAAAGTGATTTTAGTGCGCTCATCATTTACAGAAATGCATTATGAGCAGGCACTGCTGGGATTTGAACCCAGGATCTCCTGTTTACAAGACAGGCGCTTTGACCAGCTAAGCCACAGTGCCTCCACATGGATCACGTCTGAAAAGCGCCTCTATGACTTTTATGGTGACTTGCTGCATTTGCAAAAACACAAGATGCTGTTGGCAGGAACAACCAACAAGAGGAGACATAAAAGCGACAGTAGAAACCAGGTCCTAAGCTGTCAACAACTGAGACTTCAAGGTTGGTAACGATGCTCTGTGAATACACAAACCTTTAACTTGTATATAAGGCAAGAACAATGAGACCTGTGGGTCCACTGTAGGCAAAACAGGTAGATACCTCTGTGATTTCTTGCATTTTAAACATACAAAAAAAAAATCAGTGAAGAACAGTTTTAAAAGTTTCATCCATTTGTAGGCCAAAATTAAGAGTAACTTTCAGTCACTGTAACCTAGTTGAATTATTACAATTGTAAATCATTCTTTTTTATTGGATATTATATTATTATTAATTAAACTTTTATCCATTTTTTTTAGTTGGTTCAATTTTACCATAATTTGCACTACATTATCTTAAGATCTCAGCAAGAAATTTTATTTTTGGGGGTCAAAAATGTATCAAAATTTGAGCCCAAACACAAAAATGCAATTGCAGTACTGTAAATAGTTTCCTTCATATTTATAGGACAAACTGGGACATGTTCATAACAGATTTAGTAATAGAATGTGCAACTGAGTGTACAGACTAAATGTAACCACAAATTAAATATTTCCATTGTGAATTTTTTATTTTCCAGTGCAGATTTCTCGCTCATCAGCAGAGTTTTGTATTTTTTTAAATCCTTTATGTGGGAATGATTCATAACAGATTTCACTTTACAATTAATTCTGAATATGTTAAAAACTGTAAATCACTTTTTTCCTTTATGACTAAACTGTGAGACAGGAACCAAGTCACCTTATTGTTGTCACTATAATCTTAACTGTGAGTGACATTGCTGTCACTGCTCTATCTTGACTTCTACTTTGGCAAAAATACCATCACTTTTCTTTGTCTCTCAAAGCTGAAAGAAATGACAAATCCACTTCCTTTGAACAGTGGCTCTCACATTTATTACACAGTAATACCGCTTTATTTCAGCATCACTTTTTGAAAAACACATACAAACTGATGATGGCAGACAAACCCAACAGCTACACAAAGTAGCTGCTATTCATAGCAATAACTCAGGTATCTAATCTATTTGCTCATCACCTCCCAATATTAGTCCGGCCCCATGCCAGGACACACTGATTGCCATTGTGCAACTCATGCCGCTCCATTTTCCCTCAGCTCTCCAGCGCAGGTTGCTAAATTCGTCGCTAAACCCCAACGTTCTGCTCTCCCAATGAAGCCACAGCAGGTCTGCCTGTCTGCACTGCAGCAGTTAGCATGTTATCAGTTTTTATGACGTAATGGACACCATATTGTTAGGACTCAGGATCTCAATCCAGTAGCCATCAGGATCTTGAATGAAGGCCAAGCCTTTCATTTTACCTGAGAAAAAAATAAGAGAAGGGAGGGTGGTGAAATATTAATTGTAAATACTACATGAATAAACATGTCAAGTACATAGATATTAGTAATTTCAGATTTCCACAAGTGTGCATCCTGATCATAGTGCAGGGGTGAAATGACATACACAAAGGATGCCAAGACTGTCGAGATGTATCCATTTTAACAGTCTATAATCACTAACATTTTACATCTTACCATCATCTGGCTTCTTGACAAACGTGACTCCTTGCTCTTCAAACAATTTACAGGCTGCATAGACATCAGGAACTGCAATTCCGATGTGGCCTGTCAAATATATATCGACAGACTGAGACTGAATCCCCGCTACAGTTCCACATATCCAGAGTTTACTCTAGAGAGCTTACACATAAACATACACACATGCACGCACAATCAAATAGTACCAATGAACATATAGTACTGTATATCCTTAAAGGAGCTATTTGTAAGTTTTGCTATTGTTACATAGCCAATGTTAGCAGCAACAGCTGTTTGCTTACCAGTCTGGAACAAACATTGTGAGTTCAGCATCAAACTTCATTCCTTTTTAACTTGCCAAGAGCTGTGTAAGCAACCTTATTGTTTTGCATCTATTTCTATCAGTTCTTTTCTTCCAAGTTAGCATGCTAAGCAGCTAGCTCCATCCTGGTCAGCCTGTCTCACTCACTTCGAATACTGAGTCACTGCAGCATCCAGTCTGCCCTGAAGAAGTAGCATTGCTCAGAGGACGTATAATAACCACTTGTCTTGTAAAAACAATGGCTGAAGCAGTAGTAAACATCTGTTAATGCCAACGCTGGCTGTGCAGCAATAGCAAAACTTAAAAATAGCTCCATCCTGCATAATAGTTTAAAGCATAAACATTTTTATATTTTCAAAGTAAGTGACAGGTTCATTGGCACTGCAGATGAATTTTTAAAACACTTAAGGTTTTTGGGGAAGAAAATCTGATAGTCAATCAATATTACACAGCACTACAACTAAAATGTTACTATTAAACCAAGAGTGTGTTAATATTACTGTGTTCCTGCATTTTAAGTCCTTGCAATTTATGTATTGTGCTCTTTCATGTCAAAATACTTGTACATTTGGAACAAGAACGCTGTTATTTTGTAAATCATTTCTACTGCACAATCTCAGACTATGGCAATGTAGCATTTCTCTAAACAACCCCCTCCTTTTTTTATTTATTTATGTAATTGTATTGGCCTGTAACACATGAAGACCATCTTACCAAAGCCACGTGGATCAGAGTTTCCATTGTGATAAGACTGGCTCTCATCAGACTCAGAGCCCCAGTTACTGAAAGAGAGGAGGGACGGGAGCAGGAGAGGAAATAAAGAGAATAAGTTAGTTAATAACTGTACAATTGATGAGGTTTGACATTTTAAATTACTTACAAGACTAACTCTGAGTTAAATTACTTAAATAGCTGATTTCAGAATATTCTGGCACTTTGCACTCTAATGTAACAGTGGGATAGACACAGAGGGTTATTGTCATAATTTCATGCATGACCATACAGCTCTAATTCTAGTATGTAGACCCTCACTGTGTCAGCTCAATGGTGGCCCTTCTGGAAAAGGTCCAGGCCGTCTTTTCCTTCACATCTGCAGGAATCTCCTTCTTGTCTTCGTAGCCCAAGAAGAAGAGAGAGAAACGCATGGAGGGGAAGTCAAACTTTTGCAGGAGCCTGCAAGAATTTGCACAACAGAGAGAAAACTTCACTTTAGAAGTCCAGGCTATGAATAAGAAACTGTCTCAACAACACACGTACACATAAGTTCATGCACACGCACACTAAGTTCAAGTATAAGAGACGTGTTATGTCAAATCTTACTTTGCAGCAATACCAATAAAGATTGATTTAGAGTTCACTGAAGTGAAGCCCGCACTCATACTCACGTCATGCCGAGGATTCTGGTGTAGAAATCCAAGGACTTAACCGGGTCTTTAACCCGCAGCATAGTCTGCTGCATCATGAAATCCTGAGACACAGAAACAAGACAACAGAGGCTTTACATACACAAACATTTTAAATCAATTGGGCAGCAACACTGTTAATCAATCACAAAGATTAAAACATGTTATGTTATTGTTTCTTTGAAATGCAGGACAAACTCCAATTTTCTAGTATGTTGCATTTATTTATTTATTAAAAGGCCTAAACATGAGCACTAACAGAAACAGGTCTTCCAAATATGCTGCATCACAGTGTGTTAAACAGAAGCAGTGGTGGTTACTTTGTGGGCATAGCTGAGGAACTGATGCACAGCTGGTTGGGCCACAGCCCTAATAAGTTACTCTGAAATAAAAAGCCGTGGTTACCCATCAGCCAATACGACCAAACATACATGTTGTACAAACACAATTACAAAAAGCTCAGTTAGCCACCACAGACACTGATTTTATTCACATATCCTTATGTGCAATTGAAGTGTGCATGAAAAAACTAGCCCCTGCTATCACAATGGAAAATAGGGTATTGTGACATGTTCAATGAACGTAATTACACTGAACACAGGAGATGGAGGGTATGGGGATATGAACAGATGTTGAGCCTTTTAGCAGTGTATTACTTTATTGTGTTAGAGAGCACAACACATTTGATTGCAGGGCAGAAGATCTTTGGCAGACTGCTGACTGTTCCTGAATTCCAACAGAGGAAAATCTGTCTCTCCTTGCACTCGCTCATGAAAAGGGCTTTCAGCCAAACTGCACCTCTGTGCAACCAAGCGTATATCATCACCGCAGCTGTTTGGGCTGCAGATCAGCCAGTATTACCATACTGAACAGATCAGACCTGTGTGGATATGCTACATTTACTTCTTGTTTTCTATGCAAAGTCCTAAGTTTTACATGCCATGCTGGTGCTGAGGTCAGACGGTGATGCCATAAAATGTGTGCTACACTCTGGCCCGTTTTCAGAGTGACTTGCAAACACTAATTATAAGATGGTAACAGCATTCACAAATTGTTGTTGCTTGTAAATTGTATATAAATTTGCAAGACCTGCAGGGATCTTTCATGCGCATAGATGGATCTGAAGTATAATTTGTGTTTTATTCAGTGAAAAGTGTAAAAAAAAATGTATGCAAGAGAAAATTATCTCATGTAGCAGTAGGTTTTCACCCTGATCCTGACATTTTGTTGGTTTAAGTGTATGAAGCAAACTTCTACTGTGTGTGTGTGTTTCACAGCAGAGTGTTATCTCTGTGACTCGCAACTGTTCCCCTTTCCCGTGTCCTTCCTCCAAACACTGTCAAGTTTTTACAGTGGAAAAAAGTATCAACACGCCCACAGAAATTTACCAAACACTCCTGCAGCATTATGCATTTTTTCACTTCTTTCCACTTTTTTTCCACTTTCCACTTCCACAGCACATCCTTATGTTTCAAGCAGTCACATTTTTGCCAATTTATGGCAAAATCTATTACCATCCATTCATTCATTACCGTCCAAAGCTTCAAAACCAATGATAGCATGAAATAGAGGCAGCCTGTTAAGCTAAATTTTGGAAAAGGTATGATTACAGGAAACTCACTTAGTAAACAGTGTTCAGAGTGTTGGATCATGCTACCACAGAGGTTTTAAGAGGCTACAATGAACATTGCTACAGTAGGCTACTATAAAATCTTATTTCTCAAGTCAAATAGGAACTTTGACCTCCAGAGCTCACACATGTGTGAACACATTCCTGAAAATCTTGAGCATGGACTTCAACTGAAAAGACTGATAGCCAGAGCAAATATTCCCACAAAGTACTACTACTACTAATTTCAATTTCTTCTTTTTTTTGTGTGTGTAACATATCTCCAGTGTGCAGCCAGTTTGAAAGATACAATGATACTGACATGTCATCCAGCAAACACAAACAACCAATGTTTGTATCCTTGAGTATATGTATGTACATCTAGAATACAGTATAGGATACCTTTGTGTATGTACTGTCTGTGTACAGTGAGAAACTACAGTAAGAAAGTGTTGTAGCAGAAGTGCCTGTAAGGAAAGACAGAGATCAAAGACAATACGTTGGTAATACTTAGACTATAATCTTTAAATTGTGTATACTTTTGTTAGTCAATTGGACAAGTTAGCTCCAGCACCTTATGCTTGCAACACTGACCACTTTAGCTATGTGCAATCCTGCCTGCTTTTTGCCATCCGGGGCGAGTATGTTCTGGTCCGACCGCGCCTAAACACCAACTTTCATGTGAGTCCGGGGCAGATCTCGCGTTACGCACAGACTCGTTATACACATGCTTTGATAAAAATACGTCTTGGCTATAACCCCGAGTTTGGAGAGAGTTTCTTCCACACGAAAACGCACAGGCGAAAGTTCGGCTGAGAGTTAGCTAGCTTACAGCTGCCTCCGATAAAACTCGTTTTTGTTACCTGTGACGTTTATGTCGCTGCTACACCCGCCATTGGCATTAGAAATCACGTTAAACATAACCGAATCACTTGTCACCCGGGAGCTGATGCACATTTTGTGAAGAAACGTGTGACCGTCCGATAATGGATGCACTGCGCATATCTGGTTAACCTGTCTGGAATTCGTTGGCCTGTTGGCGATTGCCGGGGTTTGACAGTGTCTGATTGAAGTGTAGTTTAACTCCGAGCGGCACAAAAGTCGCCTTACCTTGGTTATTAGGTCTCCATCTTTACAAGCTGCAGTCGCTGCCTCGTCTGACAGACCTTTGTCGCTCATTTTTACTTACAGACGTTACAAAGCGGGACCGCAGCTCGGCTGGGCGAACTCACTGACAGAGTGGGATTCCGCTGAGGGAGTTTTAACAGAAAGAGCTTCCGGTACCAGCTTTCAGAATAAGAGCCCAACTAACGACCATACATTGGACTCCACAGATTACAGGGCAGCCCTGGTGGAGACAAGACATTTCAAAAGACCGATGGGGACCTTTACCTATAAAATCAAACCGTGTCAGCTATTAATTCATTTTCATTCATTACATTATGTTAAGCTTTTAAGATCCATTTAGAAACACAACTACTGCAAGAAAAAAAATATATGTAAGAAAAAGACAAAGGGTTTATTCAGTTTACCACCATGAAAAGCTTTAACCCCCAGCATCATTAAGATGCACTGTAAAATGCTGTGAAAGGGATAAACATGGAGAAGTGAGTCTAATATAGGCAGATATTCTGACATTTTAGTGGGTTGGTATAATTTTCAGTGTAAGATTCAAAATTCAACCCCTGAAACTCCAAAACAGTTCATTTGAGTATGCAAGGATCAGCAGTATTTTTTCACATTTCCTCTTTCCCTTAAGTGTTTTCAGACTGGCTTTTTCAGCCACATCGATTTTCAAAGATTCTAATCAAAAGGCTCTCTTCTCAGGAGGAAAATAATCTTGCATAATGTATGCATAGTCAGGGCAGAATATTCAATTTCAATTAGATAACAGTTGGCATTGCCCTAAGACACTAAAATATGTGGACAATGCCTAAAGGCTAAACATTTCTCTGACTATCACCCTGTCCCAGTACTTGTACTGGCTGTGTAACCAGGTCCACAATTTTGTTGTAAAGTTTTATTTTGAAAATAAAAACAGGACGTTTCCTTTTTATCTGTTGGCTAGACCAGGCTAAGCATTATGTAACCAGGGAAGCCTGCTGTTTAATGCATTATGTGGTTATTATTACATTGCATAATTCACTACATATACCTACACGACAAAATGCAAATACTACAATACTGCATTAATTCATAACTTTGTTCAGCTTATCATGATTAATGCAATATAATGCTACAATACTGTAGTTTGATGGTACAGTGTGTATAAAATGTATAACCTATTTTAATCCACTACCACATTTAAATTGCAAATCTTAATTTCATATGCTGATGTTTTACAAAACATGTCTTACAAAACATTAGCCCAACACAAATAACCAATGACAAACTCTGCAGTGCAGGTATTCCCTCATTTAAAGGCAGTCCTCCTATCTTTATCAAGGACCAAAAACACACACAGGACAGTTTGCCATGGAAATTTGTTTATTATGATAGACAACTTGTAGAGTTCTTCCAGAGAGATGTGACAGAAGGCTACATTACTGGCTATTAACCACATAGTTTATCACAGCTATACATCACTTGGCTTTGATGGATCTGAAGGATTTTCATTAAGCTGTAAACCATGAGCCACATACTGTAACCAGTCACAGAAACAGAGGAGGGCTGAAAAAAGCTGTGAGAATAACACTCCAACTACAAGCCTGAGTACCTGTACAGTTCCTGAGACAGTTTGGCTACGAGAGATGGGACTGTTGGCAGGCAAAGAGTACTTTACTACAAAAGTCGACAATGTCTCTAAGCAAATTTTTTTTCATTGGTACTTGTTCTTTTTTTTACTTTTGCCACATTTTACAAGGCCTTAACCCACTCGATCCATTAATGTCGACAAAAACATATTAAAAGAATGCTAAATTAGAAATTTTAAGTAGGGAGTTATAAAAAAAAATATCAATAATAAAGGGTTTTCCAATTCCAGCTGCTTTTAGTATTTCACAAGTCATACTTGCTAGGACTCCAAAAGATGACACATTACATGTTGACAAACTTGCCCAATAGAAAAGTTTTATTATGCATCTGCTCTCTGTTGGTAATTTCCATCTTTGTACGAACCACCTCTGGACGGTGAGTGTTTTTCTGACATTGTCTTTACAGAGTAGGAGAGTAAGGGCACTACAGTCATTTTCTCTCATAACGGAGTTCTCTGAGTAAGCATATTTTTTCACCTCCACTTCCTCTCAGATGTATTATGACACTGTTAACATATGTAACAAAACAAAACAAAAAACACCAACATTCCCATTCTAAATCCCACAGTTCAGTCTCCTCCACCTCCTCCTATTAACCCAGAGGCCAACATGAGATCAAAAAGAAAAGAAAAAAAGAGTAAGAAAGCCCTTTTCAGCTACAGTGTTCATCCACCTTTAAGATTAGAGCAGGTTTTCAGTAGCTGCGTCCAAACAGGGTGTAGTACTTTGCAGGCTCCTTACAGTTGACACACGCCTGACCAGGCTGCAGTGTCTTCAGGGGAGAGAAGGGGATACAGAGGCTCTTAGCTCCCATGGATGGAGCACCAGGCTCCAGGTCCTGGTCCCTGATAACAACAAGAGCAAAAATCTTAAATGGCTGAAATCAATACTGAGAGAAAAATGTGATATAATGAGTATTCATTTTGTTCTTTCTCAAAAACTGATGTGAATGGGATAAATTATGATAGTACTTTACAACTGACCCTGACTGAAAATACTGAAAATGGAGAAACTGAAAATATGTGTGTGTGTGTGTGTGTGTGTGTGTGTATATATATATATATATGTGTGTGTGTGTGTATGTATGCCTTTTGCTCCCTCAAATGGTAGAGCAAGGCACTGACTCAGACAGTGAGAGGTTAGACGTACTTGGCAGTGGTTTTCTTGATTGAATCCTCGCACTGAATTTCACCACAGAATGGGATCTGGACGATCTATCAAATAAGACAAACATCAGTTATTTACTCTGGTGAGGGCAGACAGTGAAATGTTTAGCACAGTGTGTGGATAATGTTACTCACCTTGCCCTGGTCCAACTCTTTCTGGAACTGCTCCATAGAGTCTGCAGCCACCATGTGAGTCTTCAGGTCATTTGAAGCTCTGACAAACACACATATAACACACTTACATCAGTCCTCTTGTATGTTTATGCACACAATGTAATCTTTCAGTCTGTGTACACAATTTCTAACACAGTGCTCCCACCAGCTGGCTGGCAACTGGCCACCTGCAATACTGCATTAAGTTTAATGCTGCATGCATCAGGTTTTTTGTGCCTTAATGACATCTACATGTATGGTGATCATTGCAGCTCTCCTATAGCAATGAAATGGCAGCCAATGAAGTGCGAGTGTATTTTATTACACTAAAACAATTCCCAGTGTGAGAGTGATTTACAGCAGGTGAAACATGTTTCACTGCATTTTCCATACTGAAATCTACAAGTAAAATCCTTTCAACAATTCTTCCAACAACAACTCATGCTTTACAATATTCTGTTGTCCTTTACTGGCTGATCAATATTCATTTGTAACTAAAGTCCTGTGTCAGCCATGTATAGTTTAAGTCTGACTTTGATGTGAAGTGCTGCATCTTACTTGTTGAACAGGCTCTTCTGGATGTCCTCCAACATGGCGACCAGCCTCGTCTCCACCTCTGCCTCTGGAATTGTCACCTTTGCGCCAGAGTCTCTCCTCACTGCGACGCACTGACGCTGCTGCATGTCTTTAGGGCCAACCTCCAGACGAATAGGAACTCCCTGGACGAGGCACACAGACATACACAACATGTGAGAGAGATATAATGACAACCACTTGTTCCAATGTGATCACCGACTTTTATTCGCTTTATTGTTTCCTCTTCTTTTTTCTGTAGGTCTTCAGGTTAAGCTCTTTGTAAACTTTGTTTAGATAATATCACATACTTCAAGTTAAACTATTAGTTCTGCTACTTTTACTCTCATGTTATTAATGACCTTGAGTTCCCAGTGGTTGAACTTCCATCCTGGGGAGTAGTTATCTCGGAGGTCACTCTTCACCCTGACACCAGCCTCCTGCAGCCTCTTCAGGTATTTCGAGCACTGGGCCAACAGTGCCTCCTTCTCCTCCTCTGGTAGGGAGGCAGTGATTCCACAGGGGATGATGACAATCTGGGAAAGAAAAGATAAGGTAGGTTGGTGGTTTACTTTGGTGGGGATTTGGTCTTCATCTCTTCTTTTAATTCATATGAAAATAATAGGATGAAAAAAGCAGATGTCTTGTACACGCACACAAGCACACAATGACAGTCGTCCATCAAGCAAATTCCATGCATTTCCATGTCTGTGTGTGAGTGACTGTACCTGCAGGCAGGCGACTTTAGGTGGCAATACGAGTCCCATGTTGTCTCCATGGACCATGGTGAGGACACCGATGGTCCTGGTTGTGATTCCCCAGGAGTTCTGGAAAGCCAGCTGCTTCTCGCCTGGCCTCTTTGGATCCTCAAACACAATCTCAAACATCCTGGAAAAGTTTTGGCCAAGATGGTGGGAAGTGGCCCCCTGAGGAAGCACAAGGAAATGACAATGTCGAGATGACTTTTTGTCTTTTAAACAGTGCAATTTCCACTATGTTCTAAAACATCAGCTCAAATCACTCAGTCTGACTGCATGTGGATTACGTGTGAAAAAGAGGTGCTATCATGAATTATTGTCTATTTCTCTGCAACTTCTTGTTAGTGAAGTATAATCTAATCCAGTGTTAAGATTTACAAATTAAACTTCTTATTCTGCTGGCCTCAGTGTAAAGGGATGAGAGGAAGGAGTGAATGAATCCAGTATACCAACGTACCTGAATGGCTCGGCCACTGGCAGAGATGAAAGCCTCCACAGTAGTGGTGTAATCTCCTCCTGCAAACTTCTCCTTCTCTGTCTTTCTCCCCTTCACCACGGGGATCGCCATCAGCTCTTCATACACACTGGCGTACAGATCCAGGATCTGAAGCACCTATATACACACACACAGAAGCCAAGCACACAAAGACTTATTGTTTGATACAATACAGTATAGTAAACAAACAAACAAAAAAAAAAAAATCTACCTTTATTACTATTAAAAGGGCTGTATGTAGTTCACTACAACATTTCTATCATTGCATCTCAGCACTGACTCATCAAGATCAGGGTTTGCAGGTCTGTTACCTCCTCTGCTGCCTCCTCTTTGGTGGCAAATGCTGTATGTCCCTCCTGCC